GAATAATATATTGAAATTGTATTTAATGAAGCTTTAGAGAGGTTTGATTTCTTCTGTTTTTATCAACAGTTTGTTGGAAAGAAAGTCAGTTTAAAACATGTTAATGAAATTATTACGCTAAAAAAATGTAATAATTGTTGAATAGTCAAGAAAAGTGAGAAGAACATTCTAAACGTTGATTTTCCTTTACATATTTTAATGAAATGTTTGTGGGTTAGCAAGGTGGGTTCCCGGCCAGAAGCTATTGCTGTTTGTGGGGGGGTCATGGTGTATTTTCATGGTACGTACAGTCCGGGAACACTTAGCACTTTTAGAAATGTGAAAATAAWAAGATTGTTTAGGAAAACCTGTGTTTTCATCCAGACAAGGCCTCAGGTTTTTCATCATGTTTCTCTGCAGAAGGAGAATAAATTACATGTTTACAGTAATTAATGCTCTATAAGTTTAGCCATTTCCAGTATTCGAGGTTGGCTCTGAACTCTTACTGCGTTTATCTTTTACACCTGTTTTTCTGTTGACTTTTACATATAATTTGTACACATAAGCTAGTTTTATTGAAGCATTGTGGTATGTTCCAGGATGTCAGAATGACTRCAGGGCAGACAAACATGGGCAGATATGAACACTGCTTAAAATGAGTGCATCTCAATAAACGAGGCATGAATTTATCTAGACCACAAGGCATTGCAACATACTTTCKTTGAGCATTAGTAAATGTAAAAATAGATCAATGCAGAGTAATAGAGGGAAGTTGTGAACCAGCCAGTGACCTTTCCTCTTKTATCCAAAATTTCATTTTCTGCTTTTTTCATTCCACATCATTCTTCATATTTAAGCAGTTCTGAGGCACGGTGGTGAAACAGGAAACTGCTGCYGCGCATGTTACTCAACATGTTGTTGCAAGCTTACCAAAGAGTGAGTGGGTTAGTTGMTGCCACCAACCTTGCTTTTTTGGGCCATGACAGGCCCGAGAGTCCTCTGCTTACATCCCCCAGATTGTTGTGTGGTTCGGGATCAGAGTTTATTAAAATGATCAACATTCTATTGGACAAATTTCCCGCAGACATTGATCGTGTGTCTATAGCTGTGGCCTGATTATCTACAACCTATAGGAATGTTGAACAACTTTTTTATTTAAATCATTACTCSAGAATGATGCAAAAACGTTTGCATTAAACGGTTGCTTTTCATGTCTAACCTTAGTTTTGTGACCACACAATAGATTTGACRTTTACCAAATGAYCAACCAAGAAAATGTCCCCAGTGTGGTGTCTGAGCTTCATGTGGGACCACCGCAGCTCAGACCTTGAACCTTCATATGGTCAAGGCCACATAATGAAAGGTTACAAAGATTAGTTAGATGTTGTTGTATTGCTACATCATTATTCTTTCAAATCCTTGCCAGCTTGTAGATCATAATGACATCAGCTGCTGATGCGTACATGTGTCAAGTTGTGTTAAATTAGCTGGGATCAGAAGACATGAGGCCTAGAAGAACAAAGACCTTGTCTGACATTTGACCTTGCTTTGTGACCTTGACTGGAGATGATGATTAGGGAATGTAAATCCTCATCATGTATAATAATAAAATCGAATTGGCAAACAATCTGGTTTCAGGTAGAGCTTTGCTTATCTGCGTTGTTGACCGTCACCTTTCCCAACCTGTCCAGTAATGGAAGCGCCAGCTGTCTCTAATCAGCAGAAATATCAAACCCTCAGTCACGCAGCAGATGGATCAACTTTAAAACACAGCTCCTTCTGAACTTTGGTGCCACTGAGAGGAGCCGACCGTTACCACAGAGTCACAGCCGGTGTTGATAGTGACAGTGACGGTGGTGGTAGGTGTGGGGGTTGGGCTGGAGCCATTCTGTGGAATTCTACCTGTGTAGCCTTGCCCTCACATGACCTGATAGAAAACAATGGCTCCAAAAAGCTCAAATTCCAAGTGAGCATTTCATGTGTCCTAGATTCTATGAAAGAAAAACAAAGTTAGTTTTTAAAATGTAATGCTTACTTCCCTAAAGGGTCCTTAATAATAGATACCTGAGTGGATGGACTGTTATTCTATATTTCAAACCTTGTGTTGAAATGCAAGGCTTTAGGCAGAATTCATTTTCCCTCCTCCTTCCTGTGTTGTGATTATGAATGAACACTGTGATCTCTCTCCGTCTCTCTCTCTCTCTCTCTCTCACACACACACACACACACACACACACACACACACAAAAACACGCACACACAGAGTGAGAACTTCCTCCTTTTCCGCATATCGCTCCAAGCCACCTGAAACAAATCACCCTCCCAGAACCGGCCATGTTGATGCTAATGTGTTGTCCCGGGGGGGGGGCTGCATGTGTGCCCGGCGCACACAGATGTTGGTGGAACCTGAGGGGCTATTTTTAGCCGAAGCTACCCACACATCATGGGCGAGTTTACAGCGGGGGAAGAGTCTGTGCATGTAACATTGGGGGGGTGGGGGTTGGAGKGTGACAAACATCCAGCAGCGTCCAGGTGGTGAGAATGAGAGCATGAAAAGCAGAGGAAAAGAGAAAACTGTGGAAACTTAAACTGGGCCTTAAATACACGCAGTGACCACAGAAGAACCTCTCTAACACACACACACATACACACACACACAGATACAAGCAGCCCACAGTAGAGACTCTTATGTAACACAGTTTGAGAGATTCAAACAGTYTTTCCAAACTCATGAATGAAGCTGRCTGAGTGTATCTGAGTGTGTATGTAGTAAYGGGAGCGTGCAGGCAGCCAGGTGACAGCAGAGAGTGCTGCGTGGGGGTCGGCAGAGCGTAAATTGGTCTCAGGAAGTGACAGTAACGGGAAAAGAAATTCAGCGTGATGCGGTCACAGCTAACCTGCCACCTCCACGATGTCTCCTGGGACTATGTCTCTGGCTTTGATCCTCTGGACAGCCTTGCGGTTCATGCGATACACCTTCCCCATCTCCGGTTCGTACTCCTTCAGAGCCTCGATGGCATTCTCTGCATTACGCTCCTGAGAAGAAAGAAAACAAAGAGGGGAGGAGAAAAACGGGGACAAGGATGAATATGGATTTTTACTTGTTTTACTGGTGTTTCTACGTTTATTTATTGAAAGATCACTTGGCAAAAAGTATTCAAGTCAAACACAAAGCAAAAACGTTTTTGTAAAAATGAGTTTTGAATTCTTAGAAGCCATCGTCGGGAGAAAGAATACTTAAAAACCATTTTGAATAGTGACTTTCTGCATCATCTCAAGACARCAGAACGTTTCTGTACTTCAGTAGAAAACAAAACTGAATGTTGGTTTCTTAATTTCTGCATCATCAGTGGCTTTTTATATAATACTATAGTAAGAAAAAAAAAGTAGAAGAGAAATATAAGAACAGTAAAGAGAGAAACCAATAGAAATTATACAACATGTGAAATGAACACCAATAACACACAGGACACCWCACCCGACATTTGACCATCATACACAATCAGCACATTCACATACAAATACAGTGTCCACATTTACACACACATACATGCATGCATACATACCTACATACATACACACACACTCATATATGTATATATATATATACACATATATATATATACACACACATATATATATATGTACACACACATATATATATTTCTGTACTTTCCACTTTGTGTATAAAAATTCTGCTTCCTCTTCAACACCAGGGCAATATTATACATAAGAGTTGTTCATGCTTTAATTTAATATTTTAATTTGACAGCCTTGCCACTCTGTGATGGGCTTTATAGACTTACACGCTAGCTTTCTCTTAGTTTGATTGCAGCTCTCAGACAAAACGGTTCATAAATCAAAAGCAAAAGCTTGGATACAGCATTTTTAATAGGAGCYAAGTTCACATTTAACATGAAAAACTGGCATTTTTATACACTTTACAGAAAGACAAAGCATGAACAGCATATCTCACCTGCCAGACCCCAATAACAGCATTGGCAATGAGGATGAGAAGAATAACAACAGGTTCTACAAARGCAGTGGTTGTTTCCTCTCCTTCTTCAAACAAAGCCAACACCTAGAAGAACACACAGAGCAACAACATGTTAGCTAACAAGGTTCTACAAGAAGGCTTTCTGTTAAATGTTGGGAGGTAAAAGTGTGGAGGAGAATCCTAGGAGGAAAAACACCAAACAAACTGAAACTTTGTCTTTCCAAAGCTAAGCAGCTTTGATTGAGTAAAGCTTGTTAAGCGGAACAAGCTAAACATTTTCTATCTAAACCCACTTTCCACTCAGACAAGTTGTGGAACCACTCATGCCCAAAACATACCTTTGTTCTCAAAGACATAGTTTGGCTCTTTAAAAGAAGGAATCTGTGAAAAAGTTATGAACTTGTAACTTAATTCTTGTAGCTCGCCTTTCAGAAGACCTCAGTTTGGAAAGAACATGTAGACAAGCTAAAAGCTAATCTGAACAGGATCTAGACCAAAGTGAACTTTAATCATCTTAAAACAGCTGAAGTCTAAGAAATCTTAGCAGAGGGCACATCAGAGTAAAAAATAAAGCGCCGCCCCTTACTTAAGAAGGCATATTTATTTTTTAAAAATACCCGTCCCTCTCCAGACGGTTAGAATTATAAACATTCAGAAGCCAATTCAACATGTTAAACATTATTTTAAAAGTCTATAATAACATTTTCTTGCTCCTGCTCAGGTTGAAAACATGCTCACTATTTTAGTTTGTGAGGTTTTTGCTCTCTGTAGCTACAGTTGGAGAACTACAAAATATATTAGAAAATTGCAGCAAATAGCAGAGAAAATCCCATTACAAAGATGCAATTTCATGCCTACCTTATTTTTTTCACTGACTGCACCACACAAGCAATGCGCTCTTAAAAGTGAATAAAGTGGACTACTTTTACGGTGATGTCGACGGGGCCTATCAAATGACAGCAGAGTAGTTTCTCCACAGAGTATTGAGCACTAGAGTGTACGTCATGGCAGGCTGAGCACGGTCGATAGTTCATCACTCCCCATCATTTGGGACGCTAAATCTCCCTTTAGACTGAGCTGAGATTAGAGGGCAACGGTGGCAGCCTCCTCAGTGGCGATGGTTCAAAGAGACACTTGGAACAATCAGCGCACATTCGCAGAGCTGCTTTCTCACTAAATATGAGAGCAAATGGAGATCAGAGTTGGCTTTGACCTTTTTTTAGGTGGTGACATTTACTGAAAAAGACTGGGTGAAATATTACYGTTTGGCTTTGGAAGTTTGAGCAAAAATGTGGTCCATGATTGGCTTTTAAGCCGCCATAATAAAMATCTCATTATTTAAACATAACACTCATAATGCTTTAAATGCTCACTGAAAGCTGATCAGTACCTCTGAAGGTACAGTATATTCTAAACCTCTCCAGAAAAAGAAAAAAGATATAAAAATGCAAATCCAAATCTCTAAGTTAAGAGACTGTGTAAAATGTAAATAAAAACAGAATGYAACAGTTTGCGAAAWCTCCTATAGACCTATATTTTATTCACAATGGAAAATGGTAAAAACATTGGTTGTTTWATGGGTTGTTTTTAAAAATGTATACAAAGTAGGATATTTTTAAATCTAACAGATTCAACACATTTTTTAAAAASTGGGGACAGAGACCAGTTTACCACAGTGAAGAATCCCTTCTTACTTTAACAACAGACTGTAAACATCTACAAACTGAGGAACTCATAGTTTTAGGGAGAATGTTGTCCCAGTCTTGTCTAATGGAGGACTCCATTTGCTTCGAACATGCAAAGCTCTCAACAATCAAGCTCCATCTTATTACCGCCGCCAAGGGCAAGGTAATGTTTTCGGTCACGTATGTCTGTCCGTCTGTCTGTCTGTCTGTCTGTCTGTCTGTCAATCTGTCATTCTGTTGTTCTGTCTGTGGACAACATAACTCAAAAACTTGTGGACGGATTGTCATGACATTTTTACCACATGTGGGTACAGGTCAAATAACACACCTTTAAACTTTGGTGATRTTCCGGATCACGATGCGGATACAGGAATGTTTTTCTTTTAACACTCTGAGATCGGCAAAGCTGTGATGCTTTCACAGGGCGTRGGTTACAAAGTGTCCAGCAGGTGGCACTGTAGTATTGATGCGCCCCTTTGTAACTCTATTACAGGATGGGGGAAATTGGTCTTGGCGGAGGTTTGCACTCTCCGAGTGCTTCTAGTATTAAACATCTTATTGTTCCATACTTTCCTAACAGAGCACTTCGCTCTCAGACTGCAGGTTTACTTGTGGTTCCTAGTTTCTAAAAGTAGAACGGGAGGCAGAGCTTTCAGTTATCAAGCTCCTCTTGTGGAAACAACTTCCAGTTTCTGTCCGTGAGGCTGACACTCTGTCTACTTAAGCTAGGCTTAAGACGTTTTCATAAATCCTATAGAAAATACACTTGGACSAGTCTTTTTACATTTAAATGCATCTTCCCTTTCCCACAAATCCGTCCGGTTGAGGGAGATGGTCACCCATCCTGAGCCCGGGTCTGCTGGAGGTTTCTTCCTGTTAAAAGCGAGTTTTTCCTTTCCACTGTCACCAGTGTGCTGCTCAGGATGGGAGACTGCAACAAAGTGATTTTATGCAATCTGCTGGCTTCCTTAAATTTATTGTTTTCCTTTTTTTTGTACAGTGCCTTGAGATGTTTGTTGTGACTTGGCACTATAAAAATAAATGGTATGGAATTAAAAAGGATGATCCCTCCCTCATTTASAACAGAGGATGGCGGCACCCGTGGTTTTGCAGAATTTCAGCTTTGGATTTGTCTGACTTTGCCTCTGTCCATTTTAAATGARCTATGGCTCAAAGATGACAGCAGTATTTCTGGATAGTGTTCACATACGACTTGTTCGCYGGGAAGAGCTTTAAGCAGCATTTGTGAGATGACACAGTGGACTCCATTTACTGACGATGATTCGTGGAAGTGTTCCTGAGCCCATGCRGTGATGTCCAGAACAGTAATGGACCTGTTTGTGCTGCCTGGGGTCCGGAAGATCCCCGCATCCAATATTAACTTTCACATTTGCACACAGAGAGCCCTCCAAATTCTTGAAATCCCTAAATAATTTTTATCAACTATAGATGGTTATTAATAGCTTTTTCAATTTTCCATTGAAGAACATTATTCTGTTTTACTATTTTTAGAGGATTTTTCACAAACTGGTGAAACTCTGCCAATAATGCATCTACTTCATCTTCTCTAAAATGCTYTTATTGGCTTGTTGTCTATTAACCYAAGTTGCAAATTGCTCCKCTAGAAGCTTACCATTCATAGCACTTTTGCATGTTTTTCTTGACCCTGACTCTGCTTCTTTCTTGCTAAAAATTAAACTTTTTTTGTTTAAACATCAGATGTTTACAATGTTCCACAGGTACTGAAAAACATGAACGTAACCTCGGTCCTGGCTTCTCTCCATTGGCTTCCTGTTCACTTACAAATTGAATTTAAGATTTTATTGTTGGCTTTTCAAGTTTTTAAAAGGTCTGGCCCAAACATATTTATGTGATTTTCTTAACATCTAAACTCCAGTCCGAGCACTCAGTCTATGAACCAGTTCCTTTTAGAAGTTCTTAGATCCCAAATAAAATCTAGAGGCGATCAGGGTTTTACAAGTGAAAAAAAAATTGCAGAAGTTTACCTCTGAGGCTACTGAGGCTTTTAAATCTTGCTGAAGATCCATCTCTTTGACTCAATCAAAAGTAGAGTTTAATGTTCAATTAGAGAATGTTTTTTTGGTTTTACTGTGTGTTTATTTAGTTTTAATGATACAAGTGCTTGACTGAACTTTAGAGCRCCTTGGTCAGCTTTTGTTGTTTGTTTTATTTGAATAACACATTAAAAGTGTTATTCAAATTTAAATTTTGCATATTGTCTCAAATTTTCTATTACTGCTATTGTGCGTTTTATTCAGGTAAAAATGATCAGAAATCATATTTCCCTTTGTGGAGGTGTCCTATATTCAACACCAGGTCAACCTCATGTCAGGAAACACCTTTCAGGTGGTTGCTGTGGATTTCTCTGTGGTTCTGTCCTATAAAACCTCTGCTGTGGCTCAGTTTGGAGGTTCCACTAAAAAAAATAATATTAATCTGAGGTCTGAAATAAAAGTACAATTGTTGGCTGCTAATTTGCCCACATCCATGTTTTATATGACCCCACTCATCTTTGCCTTAATGCTTAGTAATAACCTTTATTGTTGTGTCATGCAAAGGAGGCAGGAGAATCTAATAATTTCAATTTGAATAAATACAAATTTACAACCAAATGAGCCCCGGTTCAGGGTTTAACTTCAACTTGGCTTAAGCCACTCCCTAGTTGCAGTGGAAACATTTAAAACAGTGAGCAAATGAGGATATAAAAAAAGTATTTTAGGAAGGGTTTACACTGAAAAGAACTGCCGTTGAATGTGCCGTGCAGCAGCAGCAGAGTTTGCGCAGACAGCAGCCATGTTCTGGTATTCAGAGAGGGGGAAAAACATCGGTTCACACTCCAGAGACAGGCAGCTACAGCCTTCAGTGTTAGCCTCTCCCGACACAACAAACAGTTAAAGATATCCTCTGTCATCAACATGTTTAAGCAGTTTTCCTACGTTCAGAAATAGCTACAGCAATTTCATACCAAGTCAGCGAGGAAGTGCTGCAATAGATGGAAAAATGTTATTATGCAGGCAGGATTCCCTCCCTGCCCACCCTCCTGTGACCTTCTCCTCCCTCAGCCTGCAACCAGGGGGTCACAGTTTGAAGCGTTTTGACTGATAGCATAATTTCCAGTTAGGCAGAAGAGGTGGTCATTCCCCACCACCACCACACACACACAGGCTGGAAAACCCTAGATTGTACAATTTTCCACATGAAAGAAAGACTGATTTCTRGACTGAGCAGAGATCCAATAGCAAAGCAAAAATATGTTTGAAGAAAGTTTAAACGATGCTGTTGCAGCTATTGCCTAAAATTGCAACCGGCATCAACTTTCTTCTCTATAGCCCAACTGTAATTTGGGACTTCATTTGTAATAATCAAAGTTGACAAAGTACAGACTAAAGGGAGTAAAAAGAACAAAAATGAAAAGAAATGATAAATCTGCTGCTCRTGGCTCATTAGAGTCACTGTGTTAACCAAACACCTGTGTCTCTTTTAAAGGATACCTAGCCATGACATCAGCACTGAGTATGAAGAAAATTGCAGAATTCATTATCCAGGCTAGCCAAACATGGGCTTGATTTATGTAGGTTTTTCAACAGCTATTTGAAACAATATTAAAAACAGTGTGAAACAGTGTGAAAGAACACTAAATCAGCCATTATTTTCTTCTACACTTTAGCATGACACCGTTTGCTGCGTATTTTTCTTCTCTTTTTCGATTAACAATGTGAATGTATGTGTGCTGAGCATTGATTGCCTGATCAGTGCATTTAATGAGTCCAAATGTTTAATCTGTTTCTGCCTGAGCTACGGAGCTCTAAACAGGGCTGAGTTACCTTTATTGTTATGTACGGGGAAATCTTTTGCAGCTCTTTTGCAAATTTTGCCTGACTGTACATTTGGGTGGTCCTGTTGGCTTCATCGGAACGTGATCTGCAGCTCTCACTGGAGCAGTTCGCGGCCGAGTGCGAA